GACATATATGGATAAAATACTCTGAAATGATAAAAAAATCTCCATTTATAATAAAAACTCTTAAAAAGCCCTTAAAAGATTTTCGAGAAATACAAAAAGGGCTTAACGAGATAGAAGACCTCCAGAAGATCACAAAAAACCCTATACAGCTTGAAGACCCTCAAAGAGTGCATATTTCATATATTGAAGATTGAAGAAATTACTTCCTTCAGATTGGACTTCTGCTGCATTCCGCAACTTAAAGACCTTCAAAAGGGGTTCAATGGATTAAAACATGTCAAAAAGTCTTTGATGTATAAGAGGCCCTCTAATACTTCCTAAAAGTCGTCAAAATCTTTTCTCCAAAAAGTCTTTTCTTGCTAGAAGATCAATAGAGAGATTGAAGGCCTGCGAAAGATAATACTCAAAAAAGGGCATTGCTATTGTTTACGAACAGAAATCCTCAAAATGTCTTCGGTGGGCGAAAGCCTCCCGAGGACAGCTTCCAAAAGATCTGCTATGACTTAAAGACCATTAAAAATCGGATGTGGATAAAATACAGGGTTGCCATATTCGACGGACCTTTGGGCCCTTTGCGCCTATTCCAATCGACGAGACTTGTCCGCAGGCAACATTCAATTGAATTTTGTACGGGAACAAATGAAATTAATGCGAATAATCCGTTGTAAAGTGAACCGAGCCATGCCCAACTGGGTTTTTCTTTTTTTTGGGATTTTCTTGGGGACCTCTCAACACTGGCTCGTACGGCAGCGATATTCTCGGCCGATCACCTTGGTCGACTTTTATATGGCCTCTTCGGATTAGAAAGAGCCTTACCAGTCGAAAATTTTTCGTATAAACGCTTAATGGTGTTCTTGGAAGGCTCACATTTTTTAATCTTTTAAAAGCACGTTGAGTTTTCACTTCTTCTGCTTGGACTGACGCTTCAAACGCGGTATGTCTTTAAGCGATGTGACATATCTGTCAAAAGTTATGGCTTTGCCAGATGGGTCCGTCGAATATGGGCAACCCTGTACTGTTAAATGTTTTATGAAAATATACTTTGTAGTTACAGGACCCTCAATTCTCTGAACGGTTTCTTCCTATTGAAAAAGGCTTTTAATGTGTTTTCCCTTTTTATTCAAAAACTCTTGTATATCTAGATGATCCTCGGACGCTCCAGAACATATCTTTATAAATGTAGTTTTAGAAGGTTTATTTTGCTTCAAATGCCCTTCTATAACTGGAGAAGCCTTAAACATCTTTTAAAGTCTTCTTTGTCTACAAGACCCTCATAAGGTTTTTTAAGCTTTAAGAATCTCAAGAAATCCTACTCAGCTGCGTACTGGGACGTACACAGAAATTCTCTGAAAAGTAACCATTTCGGTGGAGAGGGGGTCCCTTCCCCCATCTTGCACATGACCTCTCAAAGGAACCTTTTAACGATTTTCTGTGGGTAAAAGACAATTGAATATGGTGTTGAAAATAATGAGTCCTTTAAAATTACTATTCAAGAGGAATGGGTCCTCTCTTAGAAAAAAAAAAATGTTAAAAATGTGTTCTAAAGCTAGAATACCATCAAAAATTACTGGTGTTCTATGGCTAGAAAGTCTTCAGGAGGTCTCCAATAGTTGGATGATGTTTACCTTTCGAAACTCTTGTATAGCTTTAGCTATAAGTTTTTTAGGAGGTCTTTACTGGATAGGAGCCTCTCAACAAGTCTAAAGGCTTTTCTACCTTTACGAAGTATTCTATGAATGAAGACTGTTGGAATACATTAAAATCAGAAATGCTTGCGAGCGGGAGTGCTCGAAGAGAACGAGTCTCTTGTTAAAGGAAATAAGTGTGGGAATATATTCATAATAGAGCAGGATTTTACTCTACGGGTGAAATCGAATGTACATTTTTTTGTAACAGATTTGGGTGTGCTTATAACAGAACCTAAAAAAGTACTGAGCTGCAGTAGAATCTGCTGGAAAACGACGAAAGCATACTCAATAGAAAAGTAGATTAAACTCGATTTTTTAACACGCGGAAGTACTACCGGTAATCTAATGGAAGAGAACCTCAGAAGGTATTCTATCCCTAAAATATGCTCATAAAGTGACTACAAGATCTTCCAAGATCTTCGGTAGGCAAATGATTGATTCGGATAAATAATGTTCAAAGATCCTACAAAGTTCTTTTTACATGGCTGAAAGACTCGCAAAAGCGGTTCTATGACTAGAATATATACAAAAGGTCTTCTGTACATACAATACCCTGTGAATGACAAAGACATAGAAGTGTAAAGATAGGACAAGACAGAGTCAAAATATGGCAACCCTGTGAAAATACTTCTGTTGTTACGATATCATAACAACATAGTTACCAATGTTAACTGATTTAAACCGCTAAGGCAATATGCAAATTTTTGGAAAGGCCCATGGAATATAATTTTGAAACCAAAATTTTGGATTTTTCAAATTTTTATTTGTTATCCGTTTCTGAAATTTTGGTTTTTATATTAACATGTCTTTGCCATGAGCTGTTAATCTATATATTCTAGACACAATCCATTTGCTCAAAATGCATTTTGTCTAGTCTTTACCATTTTAGGTCTTTGAGAATGATTAATAAAGGGCCCTTTAGGTCCTTCGATAGTTGGAAGACCTTCTATCTTTACGACACTTCCATGGAAATATAGATATTCGAAAGATATTCTGTAGGCTTTAAAAATGACTTCTTTAGATCTCAAAAGGTCTTCCATAGAGTGAGGATATTTTATGGATAAAATTGTCCATGTAGCTAGAAGTCCTTTGACAGATTTCCTGTAAACTTCCAAATGTCTTCTGTGGCTGGAAGATCCTCAAAATGACTTCATAACTAAAAAATACCTTCAAGGGATATCTAATAGGATTTTAAAGCGTCTGCTTCAGTCAGAAGCCCCAAAAGCCAGATCTTTTTTAAAGATTTTTATGATTGGAATAGCCCCAAAAGTATTCCAGTGCTAGAGGACCACAGAAGTCATTTTAAGGTGAAAAGCTAGAAAACTTTCAAAGGAATTTCTTATAGACCTTCAAAATATTTTCTATAGCTAGATGACTGTCAAAAGTCTGGCTAGAAGGAAGAAGGAAGTTCGCAGCCGCCGCTATATCCTCAAAAAATCTTTTTCAAAGCTAAAAGGTCTTGAAAGAATATTCTAAAAGTTAAAAAATAAAAATTAATAAAAAATAACCAAAACTTTTAAATTTTTTTGTTATTAAAAGTTTCCAAAAAAATACACTTTAGGGCTAGAAGACCCCAAAAAATCTTTTATGTCGAAAAAGGGGTTTTCTATAGACCTCAAAATATTTTCAATAGCTAAACATAGTCTGGAAGGCATGTCAATGGCTTGAAGATGCCCAAATGAAATTCTAAGGAATTCTGTAGGCTTTAAAAATGGCTTCTTTAGATCTCAAAAGGTCTTCCATAGAGTGAGGATATTTTATGGATAAAATGGTCCACGTAGCTAGAAGTCCTTTGACAGATTTTCTATAAACCTCCAAATGTCTTCTATGGCTGGAAGATCCTCAAAATGACTTCTTAACTAAAAAATACCTTCAAGGGATATCTAATAGGGTTTTAAAGCGTCTGCTTCAGCCAGAAGCCCCAAAAGCCGGATCTTATAAAGATTTTTATGATTGGAATAGCCGCAAAAGCATTCCAGTGCTAGAGGACCACAGAAGTTATTTTTAAGTGAAAAAAGCTAGAAAACTTTTAAAGGAATTTCTTATAGACCTTCAAAATATTTTCTATATCTAGATGACTGTCAAAAGTCTGGCTAGAAGGAAGAAGGAACTTCGCGGCCGCCGCTATATCCTCAAAAAATCTTTTTCATAGCTAAAAGATCTTGAAAGAATATTCTAAAAGTTAAAAAATAAAAATAAATAAAAAATAACCAAAACTTTTAAATTTTTTTGTTATTAATAGATGCCAAAAAAATACTCTTTAGGGCTAGAAGAGCCCCAAAAAATCTTTTATGTCGAAAAATTAAAAGACTTTTAAGGGGTTTTCTATCGACCTCAAAATATTTTCAATGGCTAAACATAGTCTGGAAGGCATTTCAATGGCTTGAAGATCCCCAAAAGGAATTCTAAGGCTAGAGAGCACTCAGAAGATCTTCTGCGTTTTTAAAACTTCTTCTAGGAAATACTTCTACGATTGGAACGACTTCTGTGGCTAAAATGGTTTCTATAGTTAAAAAGGGTGTTTCAAGGACATTTTTGAGGTTCCCATGGACTTCTATGGTGTGAAGACTCTCTAATCAGCTTTAATGGCTGAAAGACCCTTCAAATGTCATCATACCTAGATGACCATCAAAAGTCGGGAACACCTATCACTGGCTGGAAGATCCCCCTTAAGTATATCGAAGGCTAAAGAATCACAATAAAGCATTCTGCAGGCATAAGATCCTCCCAAGAATCAACTAGTTTTCAAAGGACTTCTACAGCTAAAAGCTCTTTCAAATGTCTTCTACAGTTACGATAAAGCGCTGTAGGGATGTTTCAGTGTCCCATTCTCTATCACAATCATGGGAGGCCCAGAAGTTCTAAAAAATGTTCTAGGGTTAGAAGGACTCCTTCATTTATAAACTCTTTAAAGTGTCTAAGGAGATTTATGAACTTTTCAGAAGTTTTCTATCTGTTACAATCTTCGAAGCCCACGGAAGACTTTTTACAGCAATAATATCCTGAAAACATCTTCTAGGATTAGAAGGACTTCCGTAGCTAAAAACCCTTCATAATGTCTTATATAGCAAAACTATGGATTAGAAGGACTTCGGTAGCTAAAACCCCTTTATAATATCTTATATAGCACAACTATGGAGTTTTAGGGTTGCCTCAGAGGTTGGTTGTCCTTATATCCTTGACCTTGACTTTAATTATGGCTCTTAGTTTTTGTTTTATTGCCAATCATACCTTACACTATCATTTTATTCTATTCATCTCATTTTTATGGCCATTTGACTAAATTGTTTTTTTTTTCTTTTGTCGTTGCAGATTTTCATTGCCATCGTCGGAGCGGAACACCTATGAGGATGACAAAGAGGAGGTGTTGAGTTTTTTTTTTTTTTTTTTGAAAGGAAGAACAAAAAACGAAAGCGAACGCCGTCAAGCAAAACGAAAACGTTTATTGATATTTGATGCCATTTGGATGTGGCCATTTGCCAAGAAGAAGGAATCTTTCAGCAATGACATCATCAGCATCCAAGATAACGAATCACAGCGCCTTGTTCTGCAATAATCAAGTGACAAATACCATCAGATAATTCTCTCCACGACGATACCTTGAGAGAAACAAATAGAGGCGCTATAGTTGGCATTGGTGGTGGTATCTCGAGTGTTTGTGGTCGGCTTGTGCGGTGGGTCATAGGTCACGTTGTTGTGTGCCGGTGTGTTGTGGTGTGGTGTGTTGGGCCAACGTGCGACTGACTGCGAAAAGAACGCAAAGAAGAAAACAAAACGAGGCAGGCCACCTATCAAGGTTTTTTTCGAATGTCTGCTGTGTCACCTATCTCAGTGTTAATTATATTAAAGTTGAGGAGCGAGATTTTTTCCAAAACTGTTCTGCGACCAAAACTAGCAATCCAAAGATCATCACTTATTGTCACAAGGGAAACAAGGAATTGAAATCCCCCCGCTCGTCCCAACATCTTCGTTGACATCACAAGCTCAGAAACCACAAATCAGATTTTTCCTTCTACGACTCCAATTGTTCTTTAAAATTTGTATGACTATTCCATCTCTCGATCTGTGCAATTGATACCAAATATATATTTCTGAAATTAAACGCAAAACCAACAATCAGCTCTAGATCAAATCACAAAACGCTTTGCGATTATTCGATTGAAACGAATTAAAAAAGAAGCAACCAAAAAAAATCCCTCCACTGGAAGAAGAAAGTAAAATTACGCATCCTCTTTTTTCTACGATAATTCTAAGGGAAAAATACGGAACAGCAAACGAAAGAACATCCCAAAAAACAAAACAAAAAAACTTGACTGATAGTTTAATTAATTATTAAAAAAAAACAAAAACTTCTTTTTTTGTATAACAACGCCTTGACCAAAGGCAAAACACGAAACAAAGAAAAAAACTCCCGGAAAACTACGTAGAACAGGAACTTTTTGAGCTGGAACAACCATTTGCAAACGTCAAGCCTTTTTGAAACCAGTGATCTCTTTTTTATATTCTGCCACCCCCGTCCCATTGTCCCCATTTGCGACACACCTTTGAGCAATGCTTGAAACAACAATAGCAACAGCAACAACAAAATAACTACAAACTTTAGCTATTTGGCCAAATTTAGTAACAACGGTTCTTTCCTCTCCCACTTGTCCTCCAAACTATCCTTTAAGCTTTTTTCTAAAAACAAAAACGAAAAACAACAAAAAATAGCTAAGGAAAATCAACAAGCATTTATAATCTATTTAAAATACAACAACAACAACAAGTGACAAAAAACGAAAACAACAACTTTTTCTTACTTTCCAAAATAAAAGCAAAAAAAGTTAAACAAATTTTTATTAAACCACAACAACAACAACAACAACAACAGAGAAACAAACGAAAACTCAATAATCATAACCAACAACCACAACAAAACCTACAACAAAAATGGGGAACAAATGCTGTAGCAAACGCCAGGACCAGGAACTTGCTCTCGCCTATCCAACGGGTTATAAAAAATCCGACTACACCTTCGGCCAGACACACATCAATAATACGGGTCAGAAACACAACAACGGTGGTTCGTTGGATTCCCGCTATACTCCAGATCCAAATCGTGGTCCCTTGAAAATTGGTGCTAAGGGTGGTGTGGACATAATACGACCGCGTACAACACCGAGTAAGTTGAGTCATTTTTTTTTTTTTTTTTTAATTTTAAATTTAATCTCGCAGAGTGGAGACAATTAATTGATTAGTTGTAAAAAACAAGGGTAGTCTGCCCATAACTGGTGTTTTAGCAATAACCGAATCAGGGCTTCATTTTCGTTCAATATTTATTTAAGAATTTTGATAAATACGCTTCCTATCTCTACGGACGGACGGACAAAAGGACGTGGCTAAATGAACTAAGAATTTTCAGTTGATCATACGACATACGTATTTTTTTTTAGTCTAAAATTATTATTTCGATGAGTTACAAACGGAAGGACAAACTTAATATGCACTCCATGCTATTTATGGTTGAGATTATAAAATATTGTTTCCATAGAGTAAAGTTCTTCCTTAGGCAAAATACTCTTCATCAGGGTCTTCATAGCTAGACAAGCTAAAAGAAAATTTATAGACCCCTGAAAAGTCTTAAAGCGGTAGAAGACTCTTAAAATGTTTTCAAGTATGAATGTATCTAAAGATCTTCAAAAGGTATTTTTTAGAGAGAAGAATGCCTAGAGAATCCCCAAACCTCTTTCTGTAGTGAAGGAACTCTCTAATAACAGTTTTTGACTAAATGGCCTTTACAAGGCCTTCATAGCTAGCCCTCCCTTCTCTCCCTTATTCTCAAATACGAGTATACAGGGTGAGATAAAAAATGTGCAACAAAGTCAAACACCATATTTTTACAGATTTTTTTTAATTTAATTGAATGAAAGCAAAAAACCCAGAAATAGCATCAAATTTTTGAATAATTTTAGATTTTTTCGAATTGATCACCTTTGGCACGAATTATGGCTTTCAAACGGCCAATGAAACCTTCACATACTGCCAGAATGTTGCTCTGCGGTATTTTGGCCCATTCCCGGCGAAGCGCTTGCTTGAGGTGATCGACACTTTGGTATTTTTTAGTGCCAATCTTGCTTTTCAAAATACTGCAGACACAATAGTCCAACGGATTGGTAAACGGAGATTTTGGTGGCCATTGTGCGCTGGAACCTCATTTTGTAAACAATCTTAGATGGCGCTTGCTGAGTCCTGTTGGAATGTCCCAGGGTGAGATGAAAAAACTGCAACCAACATCGGACTGATGTCATTTCTAAGTCACTTGTCCGACAGCGGTTAAAATTATTCCAGTGACAGTTCATTATATTGTTTACAAGCGTACAAAAGCATTTTGGTGAGAATTTTCCAGAAAAAAGTTATTCGTGATGGAATTCAAGCGTGATAGTGTGATTTCTTTATATTTGGCTGGATCCTTATCATCGTTAGAGCACTCCAGCATTTAAAATAAATCTTTTGTGTCTCGTACCATCGCTCGTTACCATCATGGGAGTGGACGGGAGAAAACAGCAACACCAACAGAAATGGTTCGAAAAGTAAAGAAGCGACACCCTCGCCGCAATGGCCGAAAAATGGCTCGTGAGCTGAATATATCGCAATATTCCATTCGGCAAATATTCCAAAAAGTGCAAGAACTTACACCTCAACAGGAAGAAAATAGACTCAAAAGAGCTACAGAGATGCTTCGCTTGGCCGAAAGTGGTGAACTGTCGAATTTGGTTTTCTCCGATGAGAAAACATTCGTTGTCCAGCAGTTGTTAACAAACAAAATGATCGTGTTTACTTGCCAAAGAGGTCAGCTGAAAATGTGCATCTTCGGTTGGCCACCAGAACTCAAGCGCCGGTCATGGTGATGTTGTGGGCCGCCATAACAGCCGCTCGTATTAATCGACCGTGGCATCAGAATAAATGTCGAATATTATCGCGAAAATATTCTGAAGGGTGTATTAAAGCCTTGGGCACGCACACATTTTGGACGCAGACCTTGGACATTCCAACAGGACTCAGCACCAACGCACTCAGCACGCGCCACTTAGGAATGGTTACAACATGAGGTTCCTCGTTTCATTTCCAGCGCACAATGGCCACCAAAATCTCCGGATACCAATCCGTTGGACTATTGTGTCTGGAGTATTTTGGAAAGCAAGGTTGGCACTAAAAAATACCAAAGTATCGATCACCTCATCAGAAATGCCTTTGCCAAATTTTATCGAGAACGGCTAAGATTTGGATATAGCTTCCGTATATATTATTAATCCGATTTTAGGGTTATTGTGCAAATAATGGTTAATATCACCCCAAATGGAGTGAATTTCGCGACGCAATTTCCATTTTGCACAACTCAGCTCCGATATATATTTTTTAATATAATCCTTGTCCAATATATATGATATCATGCTCTTTATAGCAAACTATAACTGCACTAAAGCAATCAACCTGTTCTGTTCTCCTTTCCAAACACACTGGCAACCACCACATAATTTATTCACAATTTTATTTTTGGCAAAATTTCAACATATTTTATTTTCAAAATACTGCAACATAACGCAATATCAAAATTTGTGTATTCCTCCCCCCCCCCCCCCCCCCCCATACTGTTCAATAATGACCTTTGGCCGTTTCAAAATATAAAATATTTGTGCTATCTCTACAGGGTGAGATAAAAAAATACTGCAACAAAGTTAAACACCATAATTTTTACATTTTTGTTAAATTTTATTGAATGAAAACAAAACATGTCGGAAATAGCATCAAATTTTAGAATAGGTTTGGATTTGATCGAATTGGTCACCTTTGGCAAGAATTGTGGCCTTCAAACGTCCAATGAAACCCGTCACAGGCCGCTCAAATGTTGCTCTACGGTATTTTGGCCCATTCCCGGCGAAGCGCTTCTAGGGGTGATGGACACTTTGGTATTTTTTAGTGCCAACCTTGCTTTCCAAAATACCCCGACACAATAGTCCAACGGATTGGTATCCGGATATTTTGGTAGCCATTTTGCACTGGAAATGAAGCGAGGAACCTCAATTTGTAACCATTCTTGGGTGGCGCGTGCTGAGTGTGATGGTGCTGAGTCCTTTTAGAATGTCCAAGGTCTGCGGCCAAAATGTTTGCGTGCCCAAGGCTTTAATACACCCTTCAGAATATAGTGAAGCAACTATTTAGCTCTTTTGAGTCTCTTTTTTCTGCAGCGGTGTAGTTCTTGCACTTTTTGAAATTTCAATGGCGAATGGAATATTGCGATAAGTTCAGCTCACCAGCCATTTTCGGCCACTGCGAACGTGGGTTTCGATCAAGTCGCTGTTTTACTTTTCGAACCATTTCTGCTGATGTTGCTGTTTTCTTCCGTCCACTTACTTGATGTCGGGTAACGAGCGATACTGGAAGCTTCACACCAAAATGCTTTTGTACGCTTGTAAACAATATAATGAGCTGTCACTGGAATAATTTAACAGCTGTCGGACGAGTGGCTTAGAAATGAAAGCAGTCTGAAATTGGTTGCAGTTTTTTCATCTCACCCTGTATAGGTTAAAAAAAAATCAAGGACCTTAGGATTTTGGTTTATTTTTTTAAGACATTGGGGAATGTTACAGCTATTTCAAGAAAACCTTTTCCCTCCCCGAGGTTTTTATGAATAATATTTGCAGTATCACGGGACAAAAAATGTCGTGGATGGTTTAGGAATATATTTTCAAAGACCTAGTAAATGGTCATAGAATTTTGTGCATTTTTATGGATATTTTTAAGGAGCTCCTGAATTATTTTAAGGAAGTTCTTCTTGATAATGTTATAAGAATATTTCTAATGAAATCGTAGATTAAAAAAATTGTAAAGGCTTTGTGAATTTTTATTTTCAAAGACTTCTTTGATCTTTTCCAAAGTCTACGTTGATATTAATGGTGTATATTTAAATAATTTTTGTTCCAGGCCTCCAGAATTTTTGATAATTTTTCAAGCACACTATTAATTTCCTCTAGAAAGATATTTTTAAGGAGCAAATAATTTGTCTAGGATTTTTTTTTTCAAAGATTTCGTGGGTTTTTAAGGCATTTTTGTTTCCAGTACCTCTAATAATTGTGAATTTTTTAAGAAACCTGATTACAGGGCCTCGTAGATAATTTCATCTTTTTTTCAAGGAGCTCTTAAATTCGATTTTGACCAAATCTTGAATTTTTAAGACCAGTTTGTAAAGACCTTTCTTTAAGAATATTTTTTGAAGGCAATTTTTTTTCCCAAAATCAAATTAGTTTTTTATGAATTTTTTAAGCGGCGTCGTCTTTTTTCTTTTTTTTAGAACTATTTCAAGGATCACTTTAATAACCAAAAAATATGTGAAAATTGGAATTTTTTATAAATTTAATTCCAGGACATTGTGGATAATAATTTACATTTTTTAAGGATTTTTTTTTTAAATGTTACATTTATTTGGGAAAATATATTCAAAGTCGATTTTGACATAAATCTTGAATTTTGAGACAAATTCGTAAGGTCATTTTTTTAATTTTTTGAACTTGTTTTAGAAGGACCATGTAATTAGAAAAATTGAAGACGTCGTGGATTATTTAAAAGGATATTCTTAAAAATAATCTCTTGGATTAAAAAAAAACTTTAAGGACCTCGAAAATCATGGATCTTTTAATAAACTAGATTCTAGGACCTAGTGTATAATTTAATTTTTATTTTCAAAGAACTCCTGATTTTATATTTTTAAAAATGCTGGATTTTCAAGGTATAATTTTTCAAAGTCGATCTTTACTAAATCTTGAATTTTCAAGATGTCCCTAACTTGAAGATTTTTCTAAAAATATTTTTTCAAGAAAAAAAAAAATCAAGGGCCAATTAAATTTTTAATTTTTTTTTTTAGGTACTTGTCTTCTTTGGGAAAATTATTTTAAAAACAACGCAACTTTAAAAAATCAATGGACCTTGTTTATCTTATAATTTTTTTTACAAATACCTTAATAATCGTTCATTTTTTTTAGGAAATAAGATTATTGGTCTTTGTGGACAATTTAAGTTTTTTTCCAACGACCTCCTTTCTTGAATTTTAAGACCAATTTTAAAAAAAAGTCTATAGTCAGGTTCTTTTGTTGAATTTCTTCCATATTTCAAAAAGATCGACAGAGAGGTCTACAAGCATTCTGTCATTTGCACATCTTCATTTTTTAAAACAGTCTGTATTGATATGAGCTACATAAAACAAAACCGTCCGATTTTATGTAATTTAATGAATTTGCTAACTAATCAGTAATGCTCTATTGACTGAAAATTAGTATTTCTACCCAATAGAAAAAAACCTATTATTTAAGCTAATATGGCTTTAGATTTTTTTTTTTTAAATCAACGTCGAATAACCACGAAGTAAAACATACATATATTTGCCGCTAAACGTATACATCACTGTTTTTTGTTTATTCCGAATTTTCCTTTACAAAGGTTTAACTGACACCCACGGATTGAAAGCTACATATATTTGCTCCTAATAGTATACAGAATTGTAATACATTCCAAATTTTCCTTTACGAAAATCTAAGTGGCTATACTTCGAACATTTACGAATTGGAACTTTCATATGTTTGTTCCTAAAAGTATGCACCATTGTTTACTTATTTATTTATTTTTTTTTTTTTTTTCATTAATTTATAACCCACTGTGAATATTAATAACAACTATTGACTGGCTATACAATCCGTTCCTTTTCATGCCATAATTATTCCCAGTTACTGGGAAGCCATTCAAATGAGAGATAGACCAAGAGACCTTACATACTCTATTATGATTATCGTTTCGTGTGTGCCTGAGTTTTTTTTTTTCTTTAAAGAATATCCTCCCCAGTGTACATAGCCTTTTTTAGTTCATTGTCGTCTGCTATTGTTGTTGTTGTTATTGTTGCTGCTGCTCTGCATTTATGATTAAAAATTCGGTTTTCAAGTCCTACAGCCATAGGTCTGCGATGCAGTAATTTTAATTATTTCTCTGTTTTGTCTATGTCTGAGGATTCGATTTTATGGCCGAATTGGTTTTTGGCTCGTTGTCTGACTGGCTGAGTGGGTGGATGGATGGGTTGCAGGATGACTGCCTGCCAGGCTGGCTATCTAGCTATTTGGGCTAAGATTAACATTATGAATGTGGCAGCAACAACAACAACAACTCCAGTAACAAACTAATATTGGCACCAGAATGAATGGTTTCCCATAAATCTTTATTTGTACAAGGTTCCTTGTGTCGTCTGTTTTCTTCATATCTTCATTTTGCTGTTTGTCCTTATTCTGTATGATGCGAATGTGTTTTGGTTGCTATTTTTTTCTGTAACTGCTATTGACTTTGATTTAGAAATGGAAATTGTTTAAGAGACCGAGAGAGAGAGAGAGGACACAAATTTACATCTAGAACGAGGACATTTTAAATAGTTATTATGTCCGTTTGGTTGGTTTTATATGACTCCTTAGCTTGTAAAAATAGCAAAAAATTATTAAAAAAAAATTATTGGCGTTGCAAAAAGATTAAAATTTACTTTTGTAGTTCAGATGGTCTTGAAGAAGAAAATGCAAAAAATCCACGAATTCTACTCAGTGGGTTTTGGAATAAAATTCTAAAAAATCACGTTTTGAGCTCAGGCGTTGTTGGGAAACATATTTCACGTTTATAGATCAGACGGTGTTGCAAAAAAATATTCTTAAAAAAATTTAAACGTATAGAAAAGGTGTGGTTGAAAAAAATACGTTTTAAAGTACGTTGGTAAAAATGTTCTTAAAAAATCCACGTTTATAACCCTGATAGAGGTTTTTGGAGAAAATATTCTTAAAAAATGCACGTATATAGCTCTGATGGTTTTGAAAAATATATTCTTAACAAGTAAAAAGTGTCAGTCGGTTTTGCCGACAGATGTATACCCCTAGCCTTGAGTTATGATTATTCAAACGGTTGACCCTTTATGGGGGAGGTTCCAAAGCAGTTGGCCAATATTGACCAATTCCTATCTGACCTAATACTGATATAAATACTACAACGTGCCACATTTGGACTATATAGACTACTTTCTATATTTTATATTAGATATGTGTAAATTTTTAGAAAAATGCTTCAGTTAAGAGATTGCGGACCTAAGTATTCTATTTTCATACTTCATCTAATACAGATAAAAATATTGATATGTGCAAAATTTGAAGAAAAAAAACACAGATCTTGTGTTGGTGAAATATTGAGATGTGCCAAGAATTAATGCAATCGAATGTGTGAATTCATGAATATTCAAAATTTTCACACCAGACATAAAAAATATTGTGATGTGTGTAATTTGAAGACAATCGTGAACTTACGTCACATTTTATTGAAGTTATTTCGGGACGGATTTGGTGCAAAGAGACCAAGTTTCGTTATTTCGACTAGGCACGTCTTGGCCGTATCAAATGATATATACCCTCTCTAGGCATATGGCTAAGGGTATAAAAATAAGCTTTTATTATACCCTTATAGCTACGGGGGGTAAAATATAACATTTGATTCGGCTAAAACGTTAAACATCGAAATAACGGCTTTAGAAATCCGTTTCAGGGTATTTGGAGTTGATCTAGGGTGTCCGTTCGTCTGGCTGGTACGCACGATAACTCTCGAAGGGAGTATCCGATTCGGTTCAAACTTAGTACATCGTAATATTAATATCATACATTGATCGAGTTCAGAGGAGGAGGAAATTGGTGCAATCTTTCTGAAACCTTCCCCACAATACAAAAATCCCAGAAATTAGTTTGCCTTACAGAACAAGAAAAGAATAACCAAATGTGTTCAAACTTTGCAAACCATAATATTTTGATCAGTGCTATGTCAGGTGTGAAAATGGACAATATCGAACCTTTCTATCAAGTACCTCCACCACAACATATGAACATCCAATTCCCTACTAATTTCACACACCCAATATTTCTTCTGGAAGAAGGTGTAGTTGGGATATATCTGTACACTCCTTCCGGTCAATATTTTGAATAACCAAAATGCCCATAAAATGAGAAAAAAAATCAACCAATGCAAAATAAACATCCGATTCTCTTCAAATTTAACACATCCAAATATTTGTACTTACATAAGATCTAGAGTGAGAATTATGGATTTTGGGCCACCCCTTCTGGTACCCTTACAATTTTACAATTTTCAATACTAAAAAAATTAATCTCTTATAACTTGCAACACAGGTCTGCGGTCTATCTTAATACTAGCAAGAGTCCGCTACTTCGTCAACGAAAAGCCCACCTTAAAACCTTAGATACGTTCCCACAGTTCGTGTTAGACTTTTCATTTTGAAGTTTACCGAGGAGAATATTAGTAAAACCATATTACAATCGACCAAAATTCAATTTTTCTGTCCAAAACAATTTCAACGTCTCCATATGGAAAACCTAGAAACCGACAGTGACCTCAATATCAAATTTTCGAATTTCAGTTAAATTCTTTCACTCAATACCAAATTAATAACCTATCCAAAACCATCTACATCTCGCCATGCTAGATATTAACAGTGGTCTAAAATTAGTACCATTTAGTACTTTTCGTACGAATATAGTAGGCATTTGCAAAACTACTAACAGAGACTTCATTATCAAATTTCGGGATTCCAGCTCTATACATTCACTAAATACAAAATGTAGCAACATTATAAACTTCTCGTATAATTTTATTACGAATTTGAAGCCCCTAGACACAATATAAAATTTCGAGGTTTCAGTTCTACCCCTTCAACAAATAAATAATTTAGTACCATTTAGTACATTTTGTACAAAGTAGTCCAATTAGTCTCAGTCTGACTCCAAAGAGAGTTGGACAGTGCTCTACCGAATCGGTTTCCTCCTCGCCTGCAGTATTCGGTGTCGTCCCCCCTCCATTTTGAAGTCATGGCCCTTATGTTACAGTGTTCCGTAATTAGATCCACCATAAGCTTTAGGTCAGATTTCGCCAATGAGATGAGCAACATTGATCTTCACTCGGAGATCACTGGCCATATTGTATTGGAGACATTACATCCCCTTCCAGTCGGCTTGATGAATCTCCCAAGGTAGTGCATGTGCAATACTTGGAAGAAGTGGCATAATGGAGACTTCACTGAGCTGTCGATATCTAAATCTACTCAGATCCGCGTCTGGACAATTCATCTGCTTATTCATTGCCAGATATTTTAGAATCCCTTCACCCAACACCAATTATATTACCATTCAGAACTTTTCGTGCAATTATAGTACACATTTTGGCTACCAGGCTGCACATGACCCTGATACCAAATTTCAGATTTCAAGCACTATCTGCCAATAGTACTATTTAATACTCTTTGTATTGGTAAAGACACTTTTCAACTTGTCTTTCTTTCTCTATTTAAAAATATATTCAAAAACGTCTTCCTATAAAACTAAATTAATTTCAATATCAGCGTTCATACTCATTAAAATTATGCCTCGTTAGCGTTTTTTTTTTTCGACACAGCTTCCGTAAAATGAAATAGACTTAGGAAAAGAGAAAAAATTCAATTTAGCTTCATCGTTATTTTGTGAATTTTTCGTATCAATTTTAATTTAACTGGCATTTATCCATTCATGCCATTAGAAGATTTAGCATAGCTTGTCACAACACTCGCTTACATTACTCCAACAAATCACAAGTGACAGGCAGGGCGTCAGTATCCATAAACATATTCTACTATCCTTGCAAGACTGCAAACTCACACATAGTCACTTTCTCAGTAATACCATACCTACTTCTTCCCTTTCTCGTTTTGAAGTGAAAATAAATTTGTCTATCCCATCCCAACTTCCATCCACCCATTTTCTCTTCTCGAAACGACGCACTGCATTTTTTTTTTTTTGCCAAAAAGTTTATAAATTATCTTATGAAATGTTCCTAAACTAATTTCCTTTTAATTTTGTGTTAAATTTCCTTTGCAGCCGGCGTTCCAGGTGCTGTGGTAGCTGGTGGCGTTCCCAAACGACGTGTCGTTGTGGCTTTATATGATTACAAATCGCGTGATGAGTCTGATTTGAGTTTCATGAAGGGAGATCGCATGGAGGTAATTGACGACACAGAATCCGACTGGTGGCGTGTGGTGAATTTGAGTACACGGCAAGAGGGTTTGATACCGCTGAATTTTGTGGCCGAGGAGCGCAGCGTAAACAGTGAAGAGTAAGTGGAAGCATGACATCTGTGTTCATGGCGGTTTGTGTCATATTTCAATTTATTTTTGCTATTTTGCCTTTAGCTGGTTTTTCGAAAATGTTCTGCGCAAGGAGGCAGACAAACTGCTGCTGGCCGAGGAGAATCCACGTGGCACATTCTTGGTGCGACCCTCAGAACACAATCCAAATGGTTTTTCATTATCCGTAAAAGACTGGGAAGATGGTCGAGGTTATCATGTTAAGCATTATCGCATAAAGCCTTTAGATAACGGTGGCTATTACATAGCAACCAATCAGACTTTCCCCTCCCTACAAGCTCTAGTTATGGCCTATAGCAGTGAGTATTTGTAATATACATCAATTTTACTTCATTTCTAATTATCCATCTCTTTTCCCTCCCAGAAAACGCCTTGGGTCTCTGCCATATACTGTCACGACCCTGTCCCAAACCTCAGCCACAAATGTGGGATTTGGGTCCAGAGTTACGTGATAAATACGAAATACCCCGTTCCGAGATACAATTGATACGTAAATTGGGACGGGGCAACTTTGGTGAAGTCTACTATGGTAAATGGCGTAACAGTATTGATGTGGCGGTTAAGACACTGCGTGAAGGTACCATGTCTACACAGGCCTTCCTCCAAGAGGCTGCCATTATGAAAAAGTTCCGCCATAATCGTTTGGTTGCACTTTATGCGGTTTGCTCACAGGTTTGTAGTTACACGTGACAACGTATTCACTTCCCCCAGTGTTCTTCGACGGGGGGGAACAAAGAAGTTTTGGTTTGTTCAACTAATAGTTTAATAGAGTATCGAAAGTTTTGCCTCCCCTTCTTTCGTTCTCTACCAACTGTGCCACTAATAGGTATTTATGTGGGAATTAAAAAGTTTGTGTAAGTGACTCCATTTTTGCAAGCGAAGCCACAAATGGTTTGAACTATTATGAAAGTATTCTTTGTTACCATCTGCCTTTTTTGGTTTTATTCTTTTCTTTATTGGCTTTTACTTTTCCTGAAACTCTGCAAGGAAGTTACTTTTATAGGCCAAAGTGTGCGTGTGTGTCACTTTACAATTGTTTTGGGATAACGAAAAAGATGGCGGCCAAAATATGAGAGGCAAAGGTTTTTGTAAAATTCATTAGCATAAAATATAAGCGTATTTAAAATGCCATTACAACCACTTTTATAAATGGGTCTTCCATAAAATATCAGACATCTTAAAGTTTTCAATAAAAAAAGAAGAGTTATTAAATATTTAAAAAAAACAACAATTAAAAAGTAAAGCCTTTATATACCATCTTAAAATTGTCCTCCATGACATAGAAAACATTTTGAAGATCGTCTTACATGTACAAGTTTTTTACAAAGTTATCTGCTCTATGAAGGTCTTTGAAAGTCTTTTGTAAAAATTTGGAAGTCCATTTGTACATAATTGGCTTGGTAGTACCTCTTAGAGTGTGGTATGTTGAACCTCGACAGGATAGATCGAATTTCATCATAGGATTAGAATTTCATGTTAATACACTATTCTTTCGACCCATGACCCATCTATGAAATGCAATAGGTAGCTGATAGGTGTAGTACAGGCGAGTTAGGGATTTAACATGTGAAGGGCGCCGTACATCGCTTACTCGTCTTGCATAATTGTACTCTTTAAATAACCTTTGGCACTATGATTTTCACACTTCCGTCCAGAGAAGGAGCAAGCTCTGTATATTAAAATAAATCCAAGTTTTATCCGGTGAATGAAGACTTGTCTACGGCAACACTATTCACCAGATGAACGGCAGAATGTGTATAATGATGTATATATTCTAAGGCCATAGGAAGACTCAATAGGCTTTCCAGTCATCCGTGCACGCCACAGCAACATCCACGAAATGGACAACTTATCAGCCTTGTCAGAACGCTTGCTCTGAGAATCGCAATAAGGTGTCTTCCTATAGACCGCATACATGAAGAGGTGCGTAAATAGAAATAAAATGCTGGCGATCCAACACTTGCTCGGGTGTATGGACATAGTCATTCAAATTAGGCAACAATCTTCAAGTAGCCTTTGTAAAGATCTTCATGATCTAGAGAATATATGTACATCAATGCAAAAGAGAGCCTCTAGAGAGCAGGTCTATCAAGAAGAACGGAATAATATTCACACAGACGCAGTCTCCGAAATAATACTAGAACGCAGAATAAAGACCATATCTAGAGAACACCCATAATCCGTGGAAAAAAGAAAAATACAGCTACATGGATATAAGAGAGTAGTATTGACAAATTTGATATCAGCCTCTTACTTGGATTGAATTGATAGATACCTGCCCGGCAGCCAAATCCTGCCCAACAAAAAAATTCACTCATCTAATCCCTATCCCGTCATGGATTCAACATATATGTACAGGTCCAAGTTAGAGGCCTATCCAGATTATTCAGAATAAACACACCAGTACGAGTTGCTATAACTACATCGACTAAGTTTTACTCCGCCAAGGACTTTAATCTCAGTTAATTCTGCTGCAAAAATTGGATTGCTGCAACAACAGCGACCTTGTAGTGAACTTTTTTTCCTGGTTAATTTCCTCTCTGCATATTAGCCTCTATGATCGTAGTGGGTTTCTGTGTCAAGAACATCCAGAATTGAATCTGATCATAAGGCGTTATAGATCTTCTCAGTAGGCTTGGGTCCTTCTACAGTACTGTAGTACTGGCTCCAGTGTTGTCTTGACTCGCAGAAATCTCCCCACAATTATTTTAGGGAATACCCTTTAATTCAGTTTTATGAAATTCGCTGGTGTTCAATTTTACAGTGGACTTAAGATCCATTTTCTAAAATAACTTGTGCAGTAAGTGGACTCGAAATAAAAAAGTTGAACAACCAAAACTTAATTTTATATACCTTTTAAGTAATTCATTTATATTAAAAATTCTTTCTAACATTACAGGAAGAACCCATCTACATTGTACAAGAATACATGTCCAAAGGCAGTCTCTTAGACTACCTGCGCGAGGGTGATGGTCGCTATTTGCATTTCGAAGATCTCATTTATATAGCAACACAAGTAGCCTCAGGTATGGAATATTTAGAATCGAAACTATTAATACATCGTGATTTGGCGGCACGCAATGTTCTCATCGGTGAGAATAATGTTGCGAAAATATGTGATTTCGGCTTAGCGCGTGTCATAGCCGACGATGAATACTGCCCGAAACAGGGATCACGTTTCCCCGTCAAGTGGACGGCACCCGAGGCCATCATATATGGTAAATTTTCAATAAAATCTGATGTCTGGTCATATGGTATACTGCTAATGGAATTGTTTACATACGGACAAGTGCCATATCCCGGTATGCATAGTCGTGAAGTTATCGAAAATATTGAGAGGGGCTTCCGTATGCCCAAGCCAACGAATCATTACTTCCCCGATAATATCTATCATTTGCTGTTACAATGTTGGGATGCGGTGCCGGAGAAGAGGCCAACATTTGAGTTTTTGAATCATTACTTCGAATCGTATTCGGTGACGTCTGAGGTGCCCTATAGAGAGGTGCAAGATTAGGATAAGTTCATAAATATACAATATTTAGGTATATTACTATAAGTTTATATAAGTCTACCTACAAACAGCAAAAAACACATACATACATATAAATCTAAAAAAAACAACAACAAACAAATTTTCTTTTTTATTATTTCAATAGAAATGTATTTTCATTACTTTATTCCTTAAATATTTTTAGGTTATAATTTTCTATTTGCTCATCTAGTGTTTTTGATTTTTTCTTTTATCTGCTAAAGAGAAAGTTTGCATAGTTTAATTCTAGAAATTTCTATTTAGTTGTAATTTTTCGTATCCTATGAAAATACCTCTTTTTTTCTATATGTGTGGTCCGTTTTCTTGATACAAGCTATACCAAACCTTAAGTTGTAACGCCATTATTCAAGCTAAAGAACATTCTGAGTTAACTTTACGTTTCCCTTCAATAAACAAAGAATGCAAAAGCAAAACAATAACAAAAACATACAATACAATAACAATATATAAAAATATTTACAAATATAACAAAATTATAAATATGGAAATGATAACAAATAAAAAAAAAAAAAACAAAAATCAGAAAATCAACCCAAGAAAAAATCACCATGCCCTCTTTTTTATGACAATTTAGAACCAAGAGAACACACAACAGCTTAACCATAACCAAAACAAAATCTATATTTTTTGTCTAAACAAACACATTAAACAAATCAAATAGATTTGCTTTTAAAAAGAAGAGAATTTTAAAATAAGCCATGCTTACAACTGCAACAAAAACGAGAGACTCTCTAAGAAGAAGAAGAAACAAAAAAGCTTTTCAAATAATAGCTATGATTTTTTTCCAATTAACTATAATCACAATGCAGCTATTTTGTATAAGACGACGACAAAAAACAAAGAAAACATCAACACACTGACCCATAGTATAAAATTCAACCTTTTGTACTTGAAATGTAGAAATCCAATCTCACATCTGCGACTTTGTTTTAAATTGTATGGAAGTTTTTTTTTTTTTTTTTTTTTAATCGGCTAGTTTTATTAAGCTTTTTGCGTGGAGAATTTCATGATGCGTAAAATCAACAAAACCAAAATAGAAACAATTATTGTGTATTTTATAAAATAAAATCAGAGACATATGGAAGGTTTTTATCCATATAATATATGGGTGAATATTATTCCTAAAGCGTTAGGTTCTTATACCGTACATGAGGTTCTTATAATAGATGATATTTAAAATGTATACATATAAATGGTTATGCCAAGTATTATATTCATAGAGAACCTTTAAACACTTTTCTGTCTAACGAAATCAATAGAATGATTTTCTGATAAAGGAAAGGATTTCTTTAAGACCTTCCACACATGAGTGATCCATTTTTGGTATTAAGTATATATATTTTAAAATATCTTATCTGGGAAATCCATTTTCTTCCTTCTATAGGGGAAGCATTTCTGTATGCATTGGAAGAAGAATACATTTTTAAAACATTTCTATATCAAAATTCCCTTCCAAAAATGGTTTCTTTATGAAGAAGACATTTTAAAAAAGCCTTATAAGCCTCCTCACCTAGATTGAATGGTCTCAGTAGATATTTGGAATGCCTCTTGTAATTCAGGGGAACATTTTGGATAATTTCTTTTTTTTAAGACGAAGTTTGAAAGAGATTTTTTTAAGAGACCAAATATTTGTAGAAGACCATGGATAAGATTCATATGCGAAAGATATTCTAAAAATATGCAATAAAAGACTATGAAAGTCCCTTTTGCAAAACCATTTTGCCTTTGGAAGATCATGTACCAATGGAAGTCTGTATTTTTTTTTGTCTGTATTTTTTATCCTTGTTGATGATCTTCAATGTATAGTAGACTGTGACGGACGAAGGAATGCATCTCGAAACCATTTCAGGAGAGCCCTACTATATTTCCCATTTGAAATGTACTAATAAAGTCCTAAGACATTTTTAAAAAAGCCTTTTGAGCCTTCTTACCTTGTAATGTATTTAAGTGTCTGAGTAAATCTTTGGAATGCCTCTTGTACTTCAAAGGAACATTTTGGAGAATTTCTTTTTTTAAGACGACCTTTTAAAGAGCATTTTTAAGAGACCAAATATTTAAAGAAGATGATTCATATGCGAAAGATATTCCATTCAAAAATTATCAAAAAGTCCTAAAACCAAACTCTTAGGTGGGGCTCCTGGTGGAGACTGATAGTAAGTCATGTGAAAATAGATATATTTATAAAAAAAATGGGTAGATTTTCTCTAGAAGATCTTTTGGATAGCCTTTTATATATGAAAGCTTTTGAGAGTTTTTTTTTTTTTTTTTTGGATGGTGATCTGAAGAGGCCTCTCAAGATATTTATGTATGGAAGACCTTTTGTTATTCTATCTAAAAATTTCCTACAGAAGCCCCCTCAATCCAATCTTGAAAGGGATTTTGGATTTCTATGGAAGACTATTTGAAAGGACTTTAACTATATAAAGAAAACATTATATATAAAGAAGTTTATTGAAAAAAAATCATGAAAAACCCATGTGGAAGATCTTCACTCCCGTTTAAAAAGATATATATTTGTAAAAGGCCATTTTGAATATAAAAACTCCAGTATAATATTTTGTTAATTGAAAAATTTTGAAAAATGTTTTATCTGAAGAAAAATCATTGAATGGTATGTTAAAGCAATGTGTAAAGTCTTCTATCTAAAGAAAATCATTGTGTGGTATGTTACCGAAAGAGAATAGGAGGACAAGGGAAAAGATTATATCTAAAGAGAATCATTGGGTGGTGTGTTACCAGCATAGAAAAGGGAGGTAAAAATGATATTCTCTTCGATGATTTTCTTAATGAATATCAAATATTTCCCTACCAATCAATTATCACCTTCGGGTAACCCACTACTTTAGTTTTATTCATTAAATTGAAATTGCAAACCCTTGTGGTGCAGCTAAAATTACTTAAACATGTGCGAAATATCGGAGGCCATTGGCCTACAGATGAAGTGTCTCTTAATTGCTTGGCAGATAATTTTTAGAAGGTCTTTTAATTCCATATAGAATCGGATTGAAAGGGAAATTTAACAAATTTAAAAAATGACTTATTTTGAAAATTTTACAATATTTTGAAATAAAATTGAATGAAAGCCTAATAAATCTAGCTGATTTAATAATGTTTGGTTATTAAAAAGAAAATAATTTTTTATGACAAAAATCATCCTTTTACTATCCCATTGGTAATTTGTTGTTATTTGTTTATTGTATTCTGCTTGTATTGTATATTACACGATTTGTTTTGTTCGATATGAAAATTTCAATGAAATTTTGTAAGGTTATGCTATTTTTTGTTTGTTTTCAATTTCTTTGTTGAATCACACTCACCATTGTCATTCGATGAATTGTATAACATTGCGTTTTTTTTTCGAATATACGTTCTACATTTAAATCAAACCAATAAAAAAAGTTATATACATATTTAATAAATATTAACAAACAAACAAACAAAAATTATATTATTATTGTAATTCTACAAACATACAACATACATGCATACATACATCTAGATACATACATACAAAACAAATTATGTAAATTAATACCTAAACAAACAAATAAAAAAATATTTCTAATTTATACAACAATAATGAAAAATAATAATTAAAAGAGAAAATCAATGAAACAAACGAAATTAGTTAAGTTATATATATACAAATATACCACAATTCACAAAAACTACAACAACAACAACACTATGAAACTCGAAAATCTTTAACTCCCTGTGTAATTTTATATAAACAAAAAAAAAACTAACAAATTGTTTGAGACTTAACTCCAACACCCAGTGATTTAGTTTTTTTTTTTAATAAGAATTTTGCAATTTTTTTTAGTTAAAAATATGCAACTAATTTTCGGTTTTTAGTATTATTTTTTAAAACAAAATTCGTAATATTAGCCATTAATATATTACAGAAAAATTATAAATTTATGAAACGCACTGTGCCATGGAATTAAAGGCGAAATATCTGCTTCAAAATGAGACATTGTCCAAAATGGCAGGCAATGCAATAAGTCCATAATTTTTGGAAATTCAATTGAATATGACATGGACCAATTTTCAAGGTTAAACAAGAAGTGATTTTAACTTCAGTTTTCTCAAATATTTTTGATGAGAGCAGTCCATTAAAATTGAACAAAACAACAAATTATTTTTCACATAATATGAGTTCATTACAAAAAATAGACATTGTCAAGAATATTTGGATATTTGATTCGACTCCATGGATTTCTCACAAGAAAGAGAATTAACATATTGTGGGCCTCATATTAAAATACCATGGTTGGAATTTAAATAAATAACACATACCTCTATGTCGAGCATACTATTTCGGCTCATTTTTTATATATTTAATTTGACTAACTCTTTCAGGGAAATTCTGTTTAAATTTGGAATATATAATAACATTCGATCATTCTGAAAAAGAAATATCTGTTGATCATAAAAAACACTACAATATATCCAATTCCGATTCCACAAATCATATTGAATCACTCCACTTTAGCCTACCTTCTGGGCTTTGTCTCTTTTGAAGTTCCGATTCCACAAATCGTATTGAATTGCTTCACATCACATACCTTATAGCTTACCTTCTGGACTTTGTCTCTTTTGAAGTTATTGTTTTTCTATTTCTTCTTAAGCACAGTGTATTGAAACCAAAAATAAATAAACTCGACGAAACCAATCCAAGTGAAGGCATTTAATTACAAAAATAAAAAAATAATAGAAAATAAAACAAAAGAACATAACAACAATACAAAAATAATATTTGCAGTTATTCAAACAGAAAACAGACCATTTCTTTTAAGAATCAAGGCATCTATAGGTTTTTTATTTAAAAAAAAAAAACAATCTCTACCCCAGTCCAATCAAAAAGTATTACAATGAATGAAAAAAAAAAAAATACAGAACAAACCAAAAATGACAAAAGAAAGCATTTATTTTCCCCCCTTCTCTGTCTAAGTTTGTCCTCACCAACGCCCGTAAAACCATACCCCTGTAAACTATAATTAAAAAAATACAAACTCTAGTTTTTTTTTTCTTTTTTAAATTTAATTAATATTTAATTAAAAATATATTGACTTTATGTATTTAATCTGTCACCTACATGCGTACATATACCTATGAAAACCTTATATAAATACATTTGTTTGTGTGTAAATCATTGATGATAATTCCTACCAAGTGCTTTAGTTAAGAAACATGTAACGTAAAACATACAAATTCCAAACATACACACACTCACACACATTACATTTACCGATGAACATCACAAATACACATTTACACATGCATTCATACACATATACGTACATACATATTTATATAGAAATCCCTGTATATGAATTACATGACAAAAGAAATTAATTAATTAATCGATTAATTATATACATATGAATATTAAAAAAAAAAATAAATTTAGTTTGTTTTTTGAATTTAAAAAGAAACCATCCAACCTCCCCATCCATTTATATATAAATATATATATAGTTAGGATTCTCCTCAACATAGTTTACTCGAATTGTTCT